CCCCCCGCGCCACCCAGCGGCTCGGGAAAGGCGAGCTGGCCTGGTGACAGGCAGCCTCCCGCATCTGCTGGGCATCGACCACCGATGCGCCCAGGGGAGGCACTGCTGGCCCTGGCAGGTGATGCTGGTGTGAAGACGTCTTGGTGCTGAGCGCTGTGCTGCTGGACGGGGCCCGACCTGATGCCTGTAGAAACAGAGGAGACCAGAAGCTCCTTTTCAAGGAGGGAGCTTGCTCCGGCCCTGGGAAGGACGAGCTAAGGCGGCTGCCGGGGCCTCACCTGCAGAGCTGAGCTGTGGCAAAACGGGCCACGGCCGCAGTGCATGGGTACGGACACCGCTGCGGGACAGCAAAGCAGCATCTGGCCTGGCAGTGTGATTCCCATGGTTAGCCATGGGATAGCTTTTCCACAGCTTTTTCTTACTCTGCCAACGGTGTACTTGTTCACAGTTGCAGCTCTGTGAAGACCCTGCCATCACACAAGATGTTATATGAAGCAGTTCCTAATTTCTTCAGTGACTGAAATACCAGACAGTCTCCACGATGGCTCAGCTAAAGAAGCAAACCTGGTAGGGGGCAGCGGGAGGACGAGAGACCCCCCCGCGCCTGGCAGAGCATGGAGTGCAGGCAGTGATGGAGACCACGCTGAGAACAGGGTTCCCACCCTTCCAGGGCTTGTCAGCAGGAGGAAAAATAAACCCACCCAGCGTGTTTTAAGCACAGCTTTGAGCCCACCAGGCAGCCGGGTCAATGCCAACCTGTTCCTTGCACCGATGCACCGCTTGCCTCCCTCGTGCCCAGTGAAGCCCCCTTTGGCTCTCACTGCTGTGGCCACGTAAGCTCCCCAGTCCTTCGGGTTGAGGCAGGCAGGCAGGGCTGTGACCTGTCTGGGCAGAGGCAGTGCCACCTCCTGCCCCCGGAGCAGAACAACCCCGTGTACCAGCATGGGCTGGGGCCAGATGGCTGGGAAGCACAGGGCTGCTCAGTGCAGCCTTCCGCACTCCTCTGCTCGCTCTTTCTTAAATAAATTGTTTTTAAAACACCTTGGCTTCTTGGCAGATGCTGCTCAACAGCTGGCACGTTGCTGAGCACCACAGTCCTCAGCAGTGCCGCATCTCCCGGTGAGCATGGGGCACCAGCGTGGCTGGCGCTGGGAGCTGGCAGACCCGTCTGCTGCCTGGGCCAGTGGAAGCCACCATGCTGGGTGTCCATGTCCAGCCCACGTAGCCCCGTGGCAGCCTGCCAGGGGCTCTCCTGCGTGTCTGCAGCATCAGAGACTGGCTAATAACTGAGTAATCATAGGAGGTAATTACAGTGTTACTTTTGCCCTCTAAAATAAAGAGCTACCTCATAATTAAAAATAAAGAGAATGGCAATCCTAATTATTAGGCTCTAATTAGGCTGACAGAGGCACACACGGCACTGCAAGGACTGCTCTCGTGACCTGCTCTCGGTCCCCTCACCTCCCCACGGCGCTCCCGGGGAAGCCCAGGGCAACCTCTCCCACTGAAAACAGAGGGTGAGACGTTCATCTCCACGCAAACCTCGCCAAATGCCGCACAGATCTGAGGAACGAGAGGAACCTGCCCTTGAGCAACCCTCCAACTCTGACGCCTGCTGCAATCCAACCCGCAGGCTGCTGCCGTCGCTCGATCCTCAGCGTTTTAATCATAAATTACACCATGTTTCATCTGTTAGCATCCTCATGGAAGATAAACATAGCCTGGTATCTCTTTGTGCTTAAAATACTGCAGCAAATACTCCATGTTGTTCTTCCCTGCCTTCCTGGAGCAGCCTTGCCCCCGGTATGCCGGGGAAGGAAGGGCTAAGCACGGCCGTCTCAGGCTGCCCCTGCCGAGGTGCTGGGTGCAGGTGGCTTCTGCTGGAGGTAGGAAGGCTTAAAAATATCTCTGACTTCAAGAGTAGCTGTAAGTCTTTCTCCCACTAATAATGAAGTGAATCATAGAATACCAGGTTGGAAGGGACCTCAAGGACCATCTGGCGCAACCTTTCCTGGGAAAAGCATGATCTAGGCAAGATGGCCCAGCACCCCGTCCAGCCAAATCTTAAAAGCGTCCGGTGTTGGGGAATCCATCACTTCCCTAGGGAGATTATTCCAATGATTGACTGTTCTCACTGTGAGAAATTTTCCTCTTGTGTCCAATTGGAATCTTCCCAGGAGTAACTTGTACCCATTACCCCTCATCTTTTCCATGTAAAGGGAGCCTCTATCTTCTTTCTAGACACCCTTTAAATACTGGACATGGTGGTAAGGGCTCCCCTAAGCCTGCTTTTCTCAAGGCTGAACAAACCTCAGTCTCTCAGCCTGTCCTCATATGGCAGGCTTCCCAGGCCTTTGATCATCTTGGTGGCCCTTCTCTGGAGCCGCTCCAGCCTGTCCGCATCTTTTACGTATAGTGGGGACCAGAACTGAGCACAGTATTCCAGGTGTGTCCTGACAAGTGCTGAGTAGAATGGGATAATGACATCTTTATCTCTGCTGGGGATGCTCTTGTTGATGCAACCCAGCATCCTCTGTTGGCTTTCTTCGCCACAGCAGCACGCTGCTCACTCATAATGAGCTTTCTGTTCACCAGGACCCCCAGGTCCCTTTCCACAGAGCTGGTCCCCAGCTGAGTGGATCCCAGCCTGTGCTGCACTCCTGGATTATGTTTTCCCAGGTACAAGACCTTACACTTGTCCTTGCTGAACTTCATAAGGTTCCTGTCAGCCCACCCTTCCAGCCTGTCCAGATCTTCCTGCAGGGTGGCTCTCTTGACACCTTCAGCTGGATAACGTCAGGGCCCATCGATTTGTAGGGGTCAAGCTCATGTAATAGTTCACAGACCAACTCTTCCTTCACTGGTGGTGGGTCTGTGTTTGCACCAACCTGGATTTTTGTTCCCAAGGCCCGGGTCCCAACAGTGCTGGTAAAGGCAGAGGTGAAGAAAGTGTTGAGAACCTCTGCCTTTTGGGCATTGTGGGTGACTAATTCACCTCTCCTGTTTAACAGCAGGCCAATGTTTGCCTTCTGTTTCTGCTTGTTGTTTACAGACCTGAAGAACCCTTTCTTGTAGCTTTTGACATCTCCGGCCAATTTCAATTCAAGCTGAGCTTTTGCTTTTCTAACTGCATCCCTGCACACCCTGGCAATGCCCTTGTAGTTCTCAATGGGTGTTCGTCTGCTGACAAAATATTGTATTAAAAACTCCATCCCTGGAACTGAAATAAGGGTGAAAATTGGGCTCTTGGAGGCCTCTCGGTTTGGGCAGGCAGTGGATTTGCCCACATTCCTTCGGGACTCTCTTCAGGAGTGTGCACGGGTCCCATTCACCCATGCAGCCGGCGATTCCCACCAGAAACGCCACTGATTTCAACTGGACAAAACACAGCAGAGCTCCCTGCTGCCTAAAACCCCATCCCCGGCCCTCAGTCTATCACAGAGCTGATTCGATGCCTCTCAACAGCCGGGGCTGGACTGCAGAGGCAACTCTGATTTCAGGGAGCTGGGCTGAGCTCCTGTGGTCAGAGCTCCCATGGTTTTGCACGGCAGCCAGGCACCTCCGACGTCTGTTTGCAATGCCATGCTGCGTTGAAAACACCCAAGCAAGCCTGGGGCTGCTGCAGCGCTGCCTTTGCCACCGTGTGGGTCGAAAGTGAAAACCAGGAAACGAGGAATTAAAGTGATAAAGCACAAATGTCTGCGACGCGGGGAGCACCCAGATAGGGTATGTTCCCAAGGCAGCCCTGTGAGCCAGCTCCCTGCGGGGTGACGGTGCCTCACCTACCCTGCCCCACTGCCCAGCCCTGGCCCCCCACCCCAGCTCCCCATCCCCTCCTCCCCAGGGCACCCCCTGCCCAGCCCCAATGCTCACTTATTCCTTACTTAAAAGCAGCCAGGAAGAGCTTTACCCCATGCATCAAAGGCTGTGATTGAGGAGCGCCGTGACCTGAAGTGCTCTGCTCCAGTACTTGGGGAGCAGGGACACGTTACCTGAGCCAGCTTTCCTCTTCCTCCTGGTTAATCAGTGCTAATTGATTGATCGGGGCTCACCCCCACCCTTCTCAGAAGAAGAGAGGCAGCACCGTTCTGTCTCGACGGAGCACATGTAATGTATTTGCTTTCAGAAAGCTGTTAGCATCCTTTCGAAAGCAGCTGGGCACGCTCCCCAGCATAACAAGAAATCATCATTTAAGTGAGATGGGGGTTGGCCACGTGCCTATAAATTACTCCGACACCTCTGCCCGGAGCGGGACCAACAGTGAGCGTGCCCAAGTGCCACTCAGGTGTGACGGCCATGTGCTGCCAAGAGCCTTGAAACCCTCTTCCCCGACCTCCGGCCGCACCAAAGCCTCTTGGTGCATTTAGCGTGTGCCATCTGGGACAGCTTTTTCCATCAGCCTTCCCCTGGGGGTGCAAGGGATCGGGAGCACAAAAATGCTATGGGAGCACAAAAATGGTATGGGGACCTGGTGTTTCTACCAGGGGGCACTGGGGAGGACGGCAGGCACCTGGCGGCCCCGCAGAATGGGGCAGGGAGGGGGCCCGAGGCACCCACCCACTGCTGGGGAAGGAAGCGGTGGTTTTCGTCAGCGGCAGAAGGGGAAATCCAGCCAGACCGTGGCTTCGTCAGTGCCTGAGCCTCCCAGGGGGCCACGTCATCTTGCTGAAAAAGGAGCTCAGGTGCTGGGAAAGTTAAAAATTGACTTGAGGTTATTTTAGTCACTGGCCACAAGCTGGTAGTGGAATTATGGGCATGAAGGTGATGCCCCCGCCGCATGGCACCCAGGGGAGAGGCTGCCTTTGCTCCCGCGTGCCTCGTCCCCTCTTGCCCCTGGCAGCGTGGCGCAGGGGACCCTGCCGCTGCGCCCCCCTCGCCTGCCACCACTCCTCCACCTGCACCCAGCCCAGGTCCCGCTCTCGGGCACCGCCACCCCATGTGCCACTGGCAGTCTGCGGAGGGAGGGGACATGCCTGGGGGCCATGCCTGGGGACCATGCCTGTGGGGTGAACCACTGGGCTGGTGGGAGCAGGCTGAGGCTTCTTGATTCAGTTATCCCCATCCAACTGGGAGCGGTCTTGGGCAACCCTCCAGGGAAACACATGGTTTAGAGGTGAGGCTGTCCTCAAGTGCCATCATTTTGCACATTTTGACATGGAAAGAAGAGCACCTCCCACTCTGTGGCCACAAGAAAGGGGATGGCAGGACCCCAAGAGACCTCGGCCCCCCTGGGCAGAGGGGCAGCGCTGCCAGGAAAATAAAGTGAGTTTAAAGGTGCAGCAGCATCCTCCCTTGCTCCGTGAGTGTCGCAGGGTACGACCATTTGGGGGTCAGCAAAAGGAGATGAGCAGTTCTGGACAACCTTCCCAGTTCTGCTGCTACCTTCTTTTTAAAACCACTGAAGGGTGTGAAGGAGCAGGGAGGAAGCCAGAGAAGCGGTGAAGGCTGTGATCTGAGATTTGTGTGCCATCGATTCATTGCTCACGGAACAGGGATGGCAGTTAGCTGTCTAAGAAGTGGAGCCTGAAGGACAGCTCAAGGAAGGAGCTTTTTCACATAAAATAAGCCGTTCTGGATTGCTGTGGTCACCTACATGGTACAAGACATCACAGGACAAAAAGCTGGGAGAGACAACCTGCTTAAACTCCCTTTTAAGTCACATACCCTAAACATGACTTTACACCACATGTTGTTTCGGACGGACGAGCTGCCCCGGTCGGCAGGGAGGATTCTCCAGCTTCCAGGAGAAAGGACCTCTCGGGATGTAGGCTTGTAACCAGCAGCTTGAATTCAGCTTGTCAAATAAATGTGGGTCAGATTCAGGCTAAAGTAGTAGTTGTACGGGTGAAACAAGAGAGGTCTCCAGATCCACACAGCTTGAACTCCAGGGGAAGCTGAGCCCACCCTCACACGTTCAGTCCGGAGATGTAGTGAAGTAGAGACCAGCAGCATATTTTGGACATGAATCAGATGTTTCCAGAAACATATGCAATTTTTGAGCTTCAACCAGCTTCTGGTTCAAGCCCACCTGTGATTTATAGTCCTGCTTTTCAAAAGAGGAGGCAGTGTTTTGGGGCAGAGTGCCAGACTGGAACAACTTCAGGCTCAGCAACAGACCTTGCACGAACGTAGGCATGTTTCCAGCGACCTCATTTTTTGGAAGGGCTGCCCTCTCTCCTTGTCCTCAGCGGATGGTCCTCTTGCGAATATCTGCTGGCTCCCTGTTTGCACTTAATCTTAAGGATTTTTAATCCAAAGCACCGGTCAGGACATACACCACCTGCAAGAACATATTGCAAAGCCCGTAAAACTGCAAGGAGTGTTGATTATCATAGAATCATTTGGTTGGAAAAGACCTTTAAGATCATCAAGTCCAACTGTACCTGTCCACTACTGAACTATGTCCCTAAGCACCTCATCCGTCCATCTTTTAAATACCTCCAGGGATGGGGACTCAACCCCTCCCCTGGGCAGCCCCTTCCAATGCTTGACAACCTTTTTCGTGAAGAAATTTTTCCTAATATCCAATCTAAACCTCCCCTGGTGCAACTTGAGGCCATTTCCCCTCATCCTATCACTTGTTACTTGGGAGAAGAGACCAACACCCACCTCACTACAGCCTCCTTTCAGGCAGTTGTAGAGGGCGATAAGGTCTCCCCTCAGCCTCCTCTTCTCCAGCCTGAACAACCCCAGTTCCCTCAGCCGTTCCTCATATGACTTGTGCTCCAAACCCCTCACCAGCTTTGTTGCTCTCCTCTGGACATGTTCCAGCACCTCAATGTCTTTCCTGTAGTGAGGGGACCAGAACTGAACACAGTGAGATGCAGCCTCACCAGTGCCGAGTACAGGGGAAGGATGACTTCCCTGCTCCTGCTGGCCAAACTATTCCTGAGACAAGCCAGGATGCCATTGGCCTTCTTGGCCACCTGGGCATGCTGCTGGCAATTAGCTATAAAGCTCTTGAGCCAACCTTATGTAAATGCTGTCATTGGGCTATAATTCTCCATTCAGCTCTCCAGGCAGGCTCCTGCAGATAGGCTCTCGTTCCCTTCTGGATTGTTACTGGACTTTCGAGAAATGCTTCGATCCTTGTTGTGGCCAGAGAAATGAATCTGCCAGGTCTACCTGGCAGGCTCCATCATACAGTGCACTGAGCGCTCCAGCCTCAGGCCAGCAAAGTGAGGATGTGCCCTGTATAAAGCACATGAAGATTCCTGCAGAAGTCAGTGTAAAGAGCCAGCAGCCTCCAGATCAGGCCACCAGCAACCCATGAAGGAGGAGCCATCAGGTGGCAAATCCCGTCATCGCTGGCTATGGTTCTTCAGAGCGATGAAGCGGTGAGTCATGGTCCAAGCAGTCAGTTCTCAGCCCATACACCTTTGGTCTGTAACGCTGGTTTTCACTGCAAACATTTTAAGTTGCTCCAGTATGTGCCTCACCCTTCTTATTTATAAGAATTAGTGAGGCCTTTCATGGGGGGGGGGGGAAAAGGGTTTCCTTTTAAAGCAAGGAAATGATGACAAAGCAAGAGATACTGGTGGTTAAAAAAAAATATAGCTTGCCTAGCAAAACAGCTCTCTTACTATCTCATCAACATGGCACAGACAGGAGAAATTATAAATAGCAGCAGTGGTAATGCCTGGGAGCTGCATCTTGGCACCGCTGCCTCTGGCCACCTCTTTTTGGCTCCAGTTCAGAGTGACGCAGGGGCCAGCGATAGCAGCTAGATGGAAAATGCCCACCAGCGCTCTGACCCCCGCTCCGGCAGGGCCGGCCCCGAGCCGAGTGCTCCGGGGTACAGCAGGCAGGTGTGCCGCTGATGCTCGATCCCAGTCGAAACAGCAGTGGAGAACAAGGCTCTTTTGTTAGGAAACGTGCATTTTCTTGGTGCAACCAGCTGAAAGGCACAAAGGGAAGAGCCAGGAGATGGAGGAGGAAATTGTTTTGAACTGGTTGTCCTGATACTTGAGATGACAGTGTATAATGCAGCCTTGGCTACCATAATCCCTGTTCACAGCAGGGAGAAAGGCTTTGTGCCATTACTACAATATTGGACTAAAGGCAGGCAGGAAGAGAGCCAGGAGAGCCTCTGAGGGCTAGCTCCCACACCAAAGCTGGGAAAGGGGGGGGTCTCATTTATTCAATTCTATTGGGAAGGCTTCATTAAGAGTGTAGCTGTGTTTAGGAAGCAGCCTGCGCACCTTCCTGTTGCTTGCCTATTTTTTCAAAGATGTTGGAGACATGGCTGTATAGGAGCACTTCATTGCAAGACCCTTGTGATACGGGACAGACATGGACCCCCAGACCCAGCCAGGTATTCCAGAGTGGCTGCAACAGGGTCCCACTTTCTTTTGGGTTTCAGACTATCACCCACCACTGTGAGGTGATGCGCAGCAGATCAGTCCCAACCGATGGCTCAGCAGGTGGACAGTAGCTTGGGAGCTTTGGTAATCTGAAACGTGTTACCTTGTTCAGGGCCAGGCCAAGCTCAGCAGATGGATAGGAACTTGCTAACTTAACTTGAATGATTGCTTCAAATCCTGCATCCCTAGCCTAAGATCTGTATTTCTGCCAAGGTACTCACTCCTGGCTCCAAAATTGAGGCAAACTTCCCTGCTTGCCACCTATGTGAAGGCCATCTCATTGATCAAGTGAAAAGCGCTGAGTGCATCTCCTCCAGCCCACTACAGCCATGGGCATACGGAGCGGCCGCGCACCCCAGCAGGGCTCCCACAGCGTCCCCCCGCTTGCAGCAGAGTCTGGCCATCACAGTGCTGGCTGGTTGCCTGACACTCCGAAAAAAAAAAAGGGTAACTGGACCAAAAATACAGGCCCAGCTTATTTCCAACAGATGCCCTCACTGACAGGTTGGTTGTGACGCCTACTGATGTTCAGTCTGGAAATCACCCTTGGGTGCGGATGCATGGCACTCCCCGTTTCGTGGCTGGCACAAGGAGGCAGCGTGTGCTCCAGCCCCTCGGTGGGATGTGAGACATTCTGCACCAAATATAAGACCAAGCTTGGACCCCTCTGCTCCCGTTTTGTCTTCAGAGCCGATTTCCTCAGCAACTGAGAGAGAAATCACGCAGAATCTCCACAATGACAAGAGGAAACACTTAAAAAACAGGCTTGTGGCTCCAAACCACTGGCGCAGTAGCTGCTTGCAGGTGGAGGGCTGGGGCATGGGAAGCCGTGCCGGGCTCCGAGAGCTGGTGACTCATGTTCTGCAACCACGTCCTGGCCACAAACCTCTGTGCCAGCAGAGCGTAGGGCAGCAACTGAGGGGCTCCAAACAGCCCAAGCAAGCATCCAGGGATCTGGCAGGAAGCTGAGCAAGAGACAATCCAGAAATTAAATTAAAAAAGCAAAAACGGTAACTCGGAGAAGAGGAAATTCTTGGATGGGGCTTTTCTTTTGACCATCTTGCAGAGGGGAAAAAGGAGGATGAAGAGAAGCGATTTGCAGGTGCCTGTGGTGTGAGCAGCGCGAGGGGTGGGAGGGGAGGCTGCAGAGAGCCCCACCGCCAGGAGCAGCGCTGCCAGTGAGCGGGGCGAGGGCTTTCACCCACCCGGGCAGCAGGGTTCAGCTCTCCCTGTGGCCCTTTGGCTGGCATCAAGTACTGGCATCCGCAGGTTGCTCAGAAATGCTCGGAGGCGGCCCGAGGCTGCGCCCTGCCTCCACTACGTGCCCGCAGCCCGTCGCCTTAGCCAGGACTCAGTATCTTCAGGAAACCTCCTTCCACCACGTTTTCTTCCCCCGTGGCGCAGCCAGGGGATAGCAATGTGGAAGGAGGGCAGGGCGCCCAGCTGCTCTGACTTGCTCTGTTCAGGGTAACAGCAAACTCCTTCCTTCAGGGAAGGGAGCCGCACAGCCGGTTGTGTCTTCCCGCCTTCTGCACTTTCTCACCACACAACCCTGCTTTCTGATAAACCCAGCGGTACATGTCAGGACCCCCGTTTGCTCCCCGGCAGCAGGAAATAGTGGGTAAATCCTGGCTATAGAAATGCTGGCTTTCATGGGGGCCCTGCGATGAGAACAAAGGTGGAAAGGGGATAGGCAGGAAAATCAAAGTGCTGAGATGGGCAACAGGTACGGGTAATTGGACCTTGGGTACAGGGTGGAGGTAAACCCCTTTCCAAGATAACAAAAATACAGAGGAGAAAGCCTTTCATCCGGGTGCTGCAGCCCCAAACAGCCACCATTTGGCTACAGTGGCAGGAGGCTTCATCTATCACAAAGAAACGAAGGTGGGGCAAACACGTAGAATTATATAGAAAATAAGGACTGCCAATTCTTTCCAAATTGTGACACTCGTGCCTTACTGGTGTTGGTCCCTCTGGAGCAGAATACAGGGTTGTTTTCATTCTCAAATCGACAGAGATTACTCAGAAAGTGAGAATGACGAGCCCTGGGAAGCCAGCCTTATTTTTCGGCTCCACATTCCCATAGCCCAAGGGCAGCTGCAGATATTTCTGAGGAGCTGTTTCTGCAGCAATTTTTGCGATGACTTCCACCTGGATTTGGGGAAGTTTTTGGGTTATAATCTGGCAACGTCCTGGCTGTGCCCCTGTGGAGAAACTGAGATGTTAAATCTGAGCTGCCCAGCCAGGTCCTATGAAGATGGGGAAGGGGACTTGCTTTTATGCAAAACAGCTAAACCAGTGATAACTCTGTTTTGAAGATCAGTAACCTGGGTGCAGCAGCGCTGTTGCAGGAGGCAGAGGTTGTTGTTATCCTCCTTTCCTCTCCAGGGAGGCTGTGCTGCTCCAGGGAGGCACACAGAGGGACTGCTGAACAAAACCCGGTGTGAGCCCCACGGGGCAGCGCTGTCAGCAAAGAGATGGAGGAGTTTGAGCTCGCCCAGTCCTCCCTGTTCAGCTACACCAGCATCAGCACCCTCAGGCTTTGTACTTTGCAAACATGATATAGAAGATGATTTTGGATCACTGCGCTCTCTGTTTACTGCAGATCCCTTGGGAGTCTGCCAGCACACTGTACTGATACCTGCTTATTCATGCCCATGCGGCATGCACCACAGGCAAAGGGCATGAAAACATCAGCAGCAGAGCTGGAAGGTGCAGCTGGATGAAACAGGCTTGTTCTTACGGAGAAAAATCCCTGACACAAAAAAAAAACCCCAAATGTTGTAGAATATCCATATGTAAGCCAGATCCTGGTGACTATCAACGCGCTGTTGTTTGCCTTTGCATTTCTGCCTATCCAGATCAAAGCGCGTGTTCACGAAGACTTTCACACTCAAGTGCTCTGAAGTACCTGAGC